TATCTTGTTAGATGATTGGATGGGTGGGTGGTTAGTGGACAATGGATGGATACATAGATAGATAGATAGATAAATGATGGAAGATGGGTGAGTAGATGGATGGATGGATGGATGGATGGATGGATGGATGGATGGATGGATGGTGAGGGATAGATATGTGAATGGGTACACAGACAAATGCATGGGTGGATGGGTGAATATATCAATGGGGGCTGATTGGGTGGATGGAAGGATGAATGGATAGAGGGAAGGGTGGATGGATGGAAGGATGTTTGACTGGATGAGTGTTCGGTGGAGCCTGGGGTCTGACTTTGATAACTAAAATTCAATTTTTTTGGATACGGGTCTATACTTTGGCAAAGAGTTTCATGATACATAATTTTAAATTGGCCACTGAGTTCAGTGGCTCATCTGTTAGTCTGGGCTCCCTGCAGCCAACATCTACCAAAGATTCAGGCATTTGGGTTCCAGAATGGGCTGAGAGGAGGGAAAGGCAAGGGGTCCCATGCAAGCCCTCATGCTGCCTAATCATCGCTATAGTGGTTGTTATTTACAGACCACTTGCTGTGTGTTGGGGACTGGGTAAGTGACAGTCCTGCCTCACCAGTCCTCGTTGTATAGATAAGGAAAGAGGTGCGGGAGTCACACACTATGACACTCAGCTCCACTCCTCCTGGCTAGGACTCGGGCTCAGGCCCACGAGAGGCTCCTGCGCTCACACTGTGGCTCTGTTCCCCTCTGCGGTGTGCATTCATGTTGGGATACAGCCCAGTGCTTTCCCACCAGGAGCCAGGCTGGTCTGCTTCCTGTGTGACGGGTCAGCAAGCTCAGGCGCAGTACACAAGGGAGGACACAATGGCAGTTGGGGCCAGCTCCTTAGCCATAGCTGTGGCAAGAGGGAGAAGGCCCTATGGATCCTTGGATCCTTTGGCCCAGACAGGAGCAGGGCTGCCCACCGGGAGAACTGGCAGCACCCCGTCACTCTGTGCCACAGGTCCAGTGGACCCTGGCCCGTCTGGCTTTCCCTACGAGTGACATCCTCTTTGCTCTCTCTCCCCTTCCTGCCCAGCACAGACCCCGCTGCTCCTCGGCCACCCTTGTTGGCTCTGGGGCTGCTGATGCCAGGCTCCTGCTGTGTCCACAAGCAGGTTTTCTGTGTGACTGAGTGTGCTGTCCCCAGGACACAAGCGACACTGTGACTGGTTCTCTCAGGGATGAGAGAGCAGGAGTGCTATGTGTGGGGGACGAGGAGGGACACAGGGAACACAGTCACTGGGAGTTCTCGTCCTGAAGATGTGCTCAGGGTGGGTGTGTGGCTCTCTGCCCTAGAGCGCAGGGGTAGCAGTCCGCAAGGACCAGCTGTGGTATGCAGGCAGGCAGCAGAGCCGAGGCCACTGGCAGCCACGTTCTCAGAGCAGGGCTCTGTGCCTCTTTCCCTTGGAGTGGCCCCCAGAGTGTCCCCAGAGCTAACAGCCCAGCCACAGCTCCAGGCCTGTCCTCTGATGAGGGCAGAGGGCTTTCAGCCTTTGGACGTCTTGAAGGAAGGCTGCCAGGGCTGTGCTTTACAGTGTCATTTTCCTCCTAGCTTCCTTCCTAGCTGGACTTCATTACTAGTATCTGGGGTTGTTGTTGTTGTTGTTTTTGTTTTGTTTTATAATGTGTTTGGTACAAGGTCTCACTACACAGCTCTGACTCATAGTGATCCTCCTGTTTTCAGCCTCCCCAGGGCTGGAATTACAGGCGTGTACTATCACGCCTGGACTTGGTGGCTGGCTCAGCGTGCCCAGGGACAGGGCCAGCATGGTGTGTGGTGCTGGGGACAGAATCCTAGTCCCTTGCCTGAGCAGGTGCTTAGTCCACAGAGCTCTCTCTCCAGCCCTTCCTTACTAGTCTGAATTGGATATCCCAACACACACATTCAGGCCCACACATCCATATCCACATAGGCAGGCGCAGGCGCGCGCGCGCACACACACACACACACACTGCACACAGAGATACACACAGGCAGACACACATGCACAAACACACCATCCAGGGCTCAGAAATGCCCCTATCCTGGCATCAAGTGCGGATCAGTGAAACCTCGTTTGTTTCGCAAGCAGTCCTAACTTTGAGAACTTCTCCCTTCTCTGCTCAGTCCTTGCCTCCTCAGCCTCCTCGAACCATGTGGCCCAAAAGCAAGCACAGTGGTGCCCCGAACGCACCCTCTGCCCAGAGCTCCGGCGCTGTGATGCCTGCCAGGGCTGGTGCCCACGCCGCCCTCCCCACTTCTGACCTCTAGGGCGGGGCCGGGCCATCCCTGCCCCTTCCCTGGGGCAGAGCCCTCGGAGGCAGGCTTGGCTCCCCTCACCAATCTGCTTTGCTGTGGCTCCAGCCTGGGAGCAGCTCCCATGCCCGCCCCCAGGCCCTGGCTGTCCAGGTGAGGACCGCAGCACCTGCACCCCACATGGTGGGACCAACAGCAGAACCGAGTTCCTGCTGCACATAAGCCAGGCCCGAGTCCCAGTGAGCACTGCGGGCTCCTTCGCACAATGCTGTGCCAAAGCCCTACCTACCCACTGCCAGAGGGACACCCTGGTCTTCCAGGGACGCCCATATACCCACAGTAGGGCCACCCCTGTCCTCAGAACACCCAACCAGCCCCACCACTGAGGGAAGCCCCCAAGGGGCCGCTGACGTGCAGACCTTGTAGGACACCACTTCTGTAGCATCTGACTGTAAAATGACCCATCAGCGACGGCAGGTACATAAGCAGGCAGAAGCTGAGGAAGAGCAGAGAGGTGACCGGAGCCGGGCCACATAGAAATGAGCCCAACAGACAGACAGGCCCACCTCTTCCGGCAAGGCCTGGTGGGGCTGCAGAGAGGGCAGAGGAAGAGGACGACCTTTCCTGCTGGGCAGACACGCCTCTGGAGGTTGCACCTTTCCTTCTCTTCAGAGTGCAGAGTGGAAGCTGGAGCTGCCCGAGCTGGTCATTCCCCATTTCTGAACAAAACACCTAACACCACACTTGGAGGGGCACAGGCTTCTGTGGCTTCTGGATTCTAAGAATGGGATCCAGGTTGGCTGGATCCAAGGCAGAAGTGTCATGGTAGAAGGGCGTGGGGGAGCCCACGTGGTGGCAGCCAGGAAGCAGAGCCTGAGGGCTGGAAAATGCACCCTCCAGGCCGGGTGACTGCCTCCCCAGAGCCGCATGCCTCAGTGAACGCTGCGACCCCTGACTTGGTGGTCCTCCCCACCCTGCTGTGTGCCAGCGAACAACTTCAGCCACACCTTGCCAGGGCGGAGGGTGGAGGGTGCAGGGCTGGGGTCCCAGCGGCAGGCCCCCTCCAGTTCACGGCTCTCTCTGAGGACGGGTGCCTTGGTACGAAGGGCGACTGCTGGAGCCCCCTCAGCTGTGTGAGGGAGGCCGGATCCTCGGCCACCAGGGGCCCCGTCTGTCTGTGCTCCTGAGCAGGCTCCTGCTGAGCTGACCCCGGGGTGTTGGGGGCAAAGGCCGCTGTCCTTGTGCACACTGGCCCAGGCCAGGATGGCATGCACCCCGTGTTTCCATGTGCGCCTGCAATCTGCACTCCAGGCAAGAGGGCCCAGTCTCCAGGGTGGTTCCCCGGAGGCCGCCCTCTGTCCCCCGCCAGGTCCACGTGCTGGCCCTGTCTGGGTGTCTGCTCCCCTGACCCTGGACAGAGCACCCTGCGTTTCATAGCCAGCGTGGCGCTGTGTCGTGACTGACTGCAGCCGGTTCCATGGGAAGTTGCCCGGGGATGTTGGATGGCCTGTCATGCCCCCGTGCCGTGTCCTGCGCCTTCCGTGTCCCTAGAAGCTCTGGTCCAGAGTCTCCTGAAGGGTCTGAGCCGGCAGCAGGCTGGTGTGGAGGAGGGGCTGGCAGGTGGGAGTGCCGCTGCGGGGAGGCCAGGTGAGAGTCAAGCAGGAGGCCAGGCCAGCCCCGCGCAAGGTGTCGAGGGACAGCCACGGGAGCTGCCGGGAGGCCCGGAAGCAGCCCTCCAAGGTTACTGCCCTCCCTGACATCTGCAGTTGGGGTGGTGCGGGGAGGGGGTGAGGCCTCAGCACCTCATGGATGTGGCTCCCAGCCTTACAGGTCTTCGCTGGGAAGAAGGGATTTGTAGTAATGATTTTCATCTGTCTCAACTCTTGCCTTGGAAAGCTTTCCCGATAGACGAAGCCTGCCTGAGCAGTGAGGTTGAAAAGCAGATTGCTCTCGGTGAAGAGTTTCGTCCCTCTATGCTGGGACAGGGATTAGGAGAGCAGGCGAGATGGAAAGGGCTTTGGTTTGGATCCTGCCATGGGCGGATACTGCCAGATTGAATATAAAGCTCCCCTGGCTGTCTGGTTCCCCGAGGTCACCTCCTCCACCACCACTCCATGCAACTGGCGCAACCCGCACTCGATGCAGTGCCCCTGGGGCCTATCAGGTCCCGAGAGCAATGTTCAGTGCCTGCATGTGGCCAGCATGTGGAAGGGGCAGCAAGGCCCTTTGCTGCCTGCAGGACGTGGCTGCCAGGAGTGGGCGTCGTGCCTGGTGGTGGAGGCCCTGGGTACTCATGGCTATTGGTGGCTGAACATGGGCTCCAGCCCGTGCAGTGGGCCACACATTCTGGGGGTTGAGGGTGGAAATTCGCCTAGAGACGCACCAGCTGCAGAGGGGCCACCTGGGGCAGGTGGTGGAGCCTCTTACCTGTGAGGGGGCTGGGTCAGACGCTTCACTGAGCATTTCCCTGAGGGAGCCTGGGTGCGGGCAAGCAGCCTGTCCGTGGGAACCAGCATGAGGACGGCCTTGGCCCTAGGCCCTGGGCAGCATGCCGCACGGCCAGCTTCTGGCCTGCTCAGCTGTTCCCTTCTCTCTCCTGGATTAGAAAATAGTGGTTGGGCTGTGGACAGGAAGGTCCGCTTTGTGGGGGAGACGGGGCCCCGGCTGCCACACCTCTCAGTGAGGCTCTTTCATGCTGACAAGGTCGTGGTGACGCTTCTGTCTGTTACAGGTGCCACAGCATGGGAGGACAACGGCCCAGGCTCCAGTGAGGTAAGGCACTCCGGCACTGGGCTCACTTTCGGCCGTGCTGTAGTCCTCTCATCCAAGGTAGAGCTGTGAAAAGCACGTAGAGGAAAGCCTCCTGGTCCCAAGCCGAGCAGCGTGGACAGAGCTTACAGCCTGTCTGTAGTCCGCACGGGATGAAGGTGCTGTCAGGTTATAAGCACGATGACTACAGAGAACAAGCGCGCCTGTGCTCCCCAGGGCCCTCTGCGCACACGTCACCGTCCTGATGCTGCCCGAGTAGGGGCCTGCCACAGGGCCAGCAGGACGTGGTACAACACCTTCCCGACTTGAGGAGTCCCCCCACCTCCACGGCTCTCGGGGTCTTCCAGGAAGTGCCTCAGAACAGGCGTCATGCGCTGGAGCTCCCGTGGCCCCTCCTCTCCCCTTCAGGGGAACTCCAGCCTGGAGGTTATTTGCCCCTTCCCCTCAGCAGGGAGGACCGTGTCCAGTCCCTGGGCAGTAATTTACAGGCTCTATCCCCATGGGAGTTGGGCTCCAAGGATGAGCAGACAGCTCGGCACACCTCCCTTTTGTCTAAGTATTCTGAAGCAGAGACAGAAGAGGCAGCGAGTCACATGGTGTCTTCAGCCAAAGACACGGTCCTCCCGAACTTCCCAAGCAAAGGTGTTCGGTGAAGGGAGCCCTACAGCAAATCCCATTCTGATTCCGGCTAGTGTAGCCTCAGTGACACAATGTCATGCTCAGGACAACATCTCGCTGATGGCTGTCCTTGCCTCGGGAGGTGTCCCGTTGGTCAGCTGGTACTGCGCCCTGTGAGGACCAGGTGCCGGGAGACGGTGCGGCCTCCCAGCACGCATCCCGGGAGGTGCTGCTCCCTCATGAGCCGCTGCTGCCTCCGCGTCCCCATCTGCGGGTGGGGCAGTGACTGCTCCTAACTGCTAGGTGCACACAGAGGCCCCTGGACTCAGGCACAGCTAGGAGGGCAGCGTCTTTAGGCAGCATGGCAAATGCAGGTCACCACGGGCAGGCGTGGTGCTGTCTTCTGTGTTTCCTGCTTCTGGAGGGTCAGAGGAGCCCGAGTCACACGTGGAGATTCTGGGGAGTTGTCCTGACTACAGAGGAAGGTTCTTCAGGAAGGGGGGGACACGATTAGATGGCCCCTAAACACAGCACCCCAGCCCGCATCAGGACACTGTGACTCCTGGGAGAGCTCGGGGGGGGGGAGAGAAAGGAGGAGAGGAGAAGAGAAGAGAGAGAAGAGAGAGAGGAGACGGAGAGAGAAGAGAGA